TTCATCTCTTACCCCCGGGGAAGTATGTGATCTTTACTGCATGCTCAATCATGATTTAGTTTTAGGACCCAACTGGAGAAAGAGTGGGTTAGGTTAACCAGCCAATAAACAAGTGCAATTACATGATTAAAAGAAAAATATGGTATCAGAAGAAACACCTGATCTAGAAAAGTTAAGGAAACTCAGTCATTAGGTAGAAATGTACAGCAGAAATACCTCAAGTTTGAGAGAAAGGTTATGTGGGTCTAAGTATCCACTCAAGAAGAGAAAGTATGGAAGGCTGTTATGAAGTTTGGGGAGAAATTAAATAATCACAAGGAGCCTAGGTATTTGATTGTACTATTTTTCTGGTTCTGGGTTTCAGAATGAAGCAGTCAACCCTCAAGTCAGGGTCCTGGCTTATTGTAATCACTCCACCTGGAGGCCTGCAAACATCCTGATGGCCATCACAGAGGTGTATTTTAATGGATTCATCCTTCCTAATTGCTTCATATTAGTTATTTTTATTAATCATTAAAAATAAGAGAAGTTTACCAAAAAAATTGTATCATTGGCATTAGTGAGCTGAAACAGATTTGCATTGGGCATTTTGAGTCAGAAAATCATACAGTTGCTAAGCAGGGACCGACAAATTCAGAAGGAATGGCTTTACATTCATCATGCAGAACAGTTCGAGATATAACTTGATGTACAGTGCTATCTATGATAGCATCGTCTAATATCTTTATGTCGAAATGAAGACCAGGAACTTCCAGAAGTTCAGACTGGATTCGGAAGAGGACATAGAACAAGGGATATCATTGTTGCTGTCAGATAAATCTTAGTTCAAAGCAGAGAACATAGAAAGATGTTTACTTCTGTTTCATTGACTGTGCAAAGGGATTTGACTGTGTGCACCATAATGAACTGTGGTCATCCTTGAGAAGAATAGGGATTCGGAAACACTTCATTGGGTGCATCCAGGACTTAGACATGGATCTAGAGGCAGGGTGCGAACATAATAAGAGACTACTACGTGGTTCAAAATCTGCAAAGGTGTGTGTCAGGGCTCTGTCCTCTTACCATATTTGTACAATCTATATGTTGAGTATATGAGAAGCTGGCATATGTGAAGACGAGTGAGTCACCAGAATTGGAGGAAGGCTCATTAACAGCCTACATTATGCAGATGTCACAACATTGCTTACTGGTAGTGAGGATGAATTAAAACACTTTTGATGAAGATCAAGGATTATATCCTTCAGTATGGATTACAACTCAATGTAAGGAAGACCAAAACCCTAACAACCCAACCAAGAGATAACATCATGATATATGGAGGAAAAGGTTGAAATTCTCAAAGATTTTTTTAAAGATCATTTTATTGGGGTTTCTTATAACTTCTATAACAATCCATACACCAATCATTGAGATACAAGCTCACAACACATGGAGTCCAGGTCAGATAAAACCCTCAAGAACAGAAAAGGGAGTAGTGATTCCAGGAGGGTAGAGGGAAGGTGGGAGGAGGAGAGGAGGTAGGCGGAACCAATCACAATGATGGACACACATCACCACCGCCCCACCCCTCAAGGGGTATGAACAACAGAAACCATGGGGGAAGGGAGACAGCGGTTGGTGTAAAATATGTCAAAGATTTTGTCTTACTTGGAGCATTGATTAATACTCATGGAAATAGCAGTCAAGAGATCCAAAAAACTTATGGCATTAGGTAATTCTACTGCACATGACCTCTTTATAATATTGAAGAGCAAGGATGTTACTTTGAGAATGAAAGTGCACCTGACCCAGGCCATGGTAGTCTCCATTGCATCATATGCATGTGAAAATTGGACATTGAATAAGGAAGCCGACGTGATGGCAACTAACAGCCACAAAAGAAGAGCAGTAAATATAGCTATTCTTTACATTTACCCACCAACCACTAAAGGTAATGGTGAAGAAATTCAAGGATTCTATTGACTTCTTCAGTCTGAAATTGATCAAACATGCAATCAATTTGTATTAATAATTTCTGATGACTGGAATGTGAATGTTCTAAACAAAGAGAAAGTATTAGTAGTTGGAAAATATGACTTTGATGATAGATAAGGGTCTGGACATCAAATGATAAAATGTTGTAAGACCAATGATTCCTCACTGCTGATACCCCTTCCAACAAACATAAATGGAGACTGTACACATAGAACTCACCTATGGAACACACAGGAAATGAAACTGAGTACATCTCTGGAAGTAGATGATGAGGAAGCGCTCTATCAGACAAAACAAAGCCAGAGGCCAGCTGTGGAAATGACCATCAACTGCTCATATTTAAATTCTGCTTGAAGCTATAGATATTAAAACAAGTCCACAAGAGCAACATTACAATATTGAGTATATCCCACCTGAATTTAAAGACATCTCACGAATATATTTAACAAAAATTTTAAAATTTAGACTTGAATGTAGAGTAGCTAAAATAAATAGATGAAATGATGAAGTAAAAGAGTGGAAACGAAAATTTCAAAGGGCAGCTTGAGAAGTATTATAATGCAAAACCCTGGAATCAGGAAGTTAAAGAAGAAAAATACATTCCGCAGATTTCAAGCTGAAAGAAATGAGAGGGAAAAATCAAACCTCAAGTTGAAATATTGAAGAATTCTGTGTGCAAAATCTTGAACGAGGCAGAAAGTATCAAAAGATGGAAGGAATATACAGAATCACTTTACCAAAAAGAATTGACTGAAGTTCAGCCATCTCCAGAGATAGAATATGATCACAACCTAAAAGTACTGCCGGGAAGAGTCAAGCTATATGGAAGACATTAGCCAAAAATAAACTCCAGAAATTGGCGAATCCCAATTGAAATGTTTCAGCAGCCCGTAATCCTGCAGGCACCCATTACTTCATGCCAAGAAATTGAGGACACAGCTACCTGCCTCGCCTAACAAAAACAATCCAAATTTGTGTCAGTTCCAGAGAAAGTTAAGTGAACTGAAAAGTAACATGAAAAGCCCAAGCAAGTAAAAGTTGACTAACGATAATTAAAATTTGTTGTAGCAGTATATGGGCAGCGGGCTTCCAGAAATTCAAACCAGTTTCAGAAGAGGATGTGGAATGTATATGATTGCTGATGTCAAATAGATCTTACCTGAAGGCAGAGAACACCACACAATGTGGACTTGTACTTTATTGACCATGAAAAGGCATTCTGCGGAGTGGAACATAACAAACGATGGCTATTATTGTGAATAATTTGAACTCAAGAATAACATGACATCAAGATTGGGGAGAAACTTGTTTACAACCAGCAGTAGGCAGATAACACAACCTTACTTGCTGACAGTGAGGAGGACTTGAAGCAGTTGCTCAGGAAAATCAAAGACTACAGATTTCAGCATGGATTTGAAAGAAACCCAAACCCTCACAATTGAACCAACTGCATGATAAGAAGAGTACTGATTGAAGGGTTTACCGTATGTACTAGAGCATAAGCCAACCCAAATATCAGCCAAGGCACCTAATTTTACCACAAAAACAGCATAAAAATGTGCTGAAAAAACTCGGCTTATACTCGAGTATATATGGTAATGTTCTTGCATCCACAATCATTGCTAATGGAAGCAGTTTTAAAAATCAGATGACATATACTGCATTTAAATTATGGTGTTGCTGGGGTTTTTTTTAATGGTTTCTTTCTATTTAGTTTTTTGGTTTTGTTTTTTGCCATTTGGTATGTGGACTGTTTTCCTGAATTCCTCTAGAGTATGTGTTTGTTCTTGGAGTTGCCTGGGTTTTCTTGGGTCTCATGGAGGGCCCTATATAGATAAGTATTTTGAATTCCTTCTCAGCTAGTGCTTATACTGTATCTCTCTCATGAAGGTTTTCTGGCTTTTTATCTTTGTCTCTTGCTTGAGCCATGTTGTCCTATTTCTTTATATTCCCTGGGGTTCCCCATTCATTAAGGTATTTTACTCAGCAAGCAGTGGCTACTTGATTATGTATTTGCTTGCTCTGTCCTTATTTTTTTTTTTCCTTGCATTGAATATATCTGGGTAAGCCAGGTGGGCATGTTGTACTGGTCCCTAGTCTGGGAGCACTGAAGCGTTTACCCCCTGTCTGTGGGTGTGCAGGGAAGCAGCTGGCACCCTTGAGTGGGGATCTATATGCTTGGTTGTGCTTTGCAACTGAGGGCAGTCTGGGTGAGCATTGGCTGCTGCCACCATCGAATGGTCTATTGCCTGGTGTGTGGGCAACGTTACTTGCTGAGTAGGAGTGGGTGGGAGGTATGGTGAGAATGGCAAGCCAGTAAATATGCTGGAGCAAGTTCTCCACTTCTTGTTGGGTTGGTGGATGGGAGTGGATGGTGGGAATGTATTTTCCATGGAGCTGGATCAGAGGGTGATTGAGGGGCTTGCAGGAGCAAGTAGTAGTAGCCATTGCTTGCTGAGTGTTGGGGAGTAGCGTTGGAGGTGGGGCGGTGGGAAGTAGGCAGTCCAGCACACAGGAGCACAACCTCCATTGCTTGCCAGGCCTCTTTCATATGCATTTTCTCCATTGATTAGGATACATCTTGTTCTGCTCGCTCTGTATATGTCTACATAGCTTCTCACCTATTAGGGATACTGTAAAGTTACCTTCCTGTGCGCTTCGTGGATGGCCATACAATCTAGTATAGCTGAAGGAGTATCCCTGCTCCACATCACTCTTGTCCATTGCATTCTTTCAATTTCTTCATAAAGTTAGTGCCCGATTCCATTCTTTAGCCTCCCATTTCCTGTTTAGATTCCAGGATTTCCATCTGCATCTGTTTCACTTGGATTCTTGGGTCTTCGGTGAAGCAGAAAGGCCTGGTGTGTCTGGGTACACCGCCAGATTGGCTCCTCTCCAACACTTTTATTCTGTACGTCACAATAATTTGATAGGAAACCACTGCACTCAAACAAACGATATTCAAGCAATGAGTTTATTTGTTTAAGTGTCTACGTTGTAAAAATAAAATGCTTTCTTTTTGGCAGAAAATAATTGGAGAAAAGTATCAGGCACTGAATTCAAGACTGTTTATTGGACGTCCTCGATGGAAAATTCTTTTTGATGAAATAGCCAAATGTAACAGAGGGTAAGTACTGTTCTCAAAGAATTTGACATTTGGTTAATGATCATTGAAAAAATATCCCTAAATCATTACATACAGCTTTAAAGAGTTGAATTAGCAATTGGATTTACAATTTAAAAACTCAAACGCTCAATTATCAATATTAAATGAGGAAGCAGTGGAAAGTATCACCCAAATATCAGTAATTGCAAATAATTAAATCTTGGCTTAGAAATAACCAGCAATATTTTTATGAAATAAACTCTCTGATTCAGTTTTCAATTTGCAAAAGGAAATCGTTTAGGCATATCTAATGAGCTCTAGCTATCAAGACCACTGGTTAGCAATATCAATTATGCAAGGACGCATCAACTGTGTTTGGTTATTGTGTTTGATGCCATCAAGTCGGTTTCACCTCATCCTCGCTGACATTGAGTCACTGCCGATGCGGAGTCACCCTTTAGGACAGGGTAGAACGCCCCCTGTGAGCTTCCAAGACTGTTTACAGGAATAGAAAGCCCCATCTTTCACCAAGGAGTGGCTGTTGGTTTTAAACTCTGGACCTTGGGAATCACAGCCCAACATATAAGCACTATGCCAGCAGCACTACTCTTTTAGCTCATGGTGACTTACCTGCCCTCTATCATCATTGTGATGCTTGATCCAGGGTTGCAACCACTGTATCGTATCTATCCACTTTATTGTGAGTCTCATTTTTTTTTGGGGGGGTCGCTAACTCTCTCAATTACCATTACCTTCTACCAGGACAAACAAAGAATGGGAGATGAAATCTTGCTATCCTTATTTCTAAGGAGCTTATGGGTTATACTTCTTCCAAGGCAAATGGATTTGTTCTCCTGGTGTCCATGGTACATTAACTATTCTTTGCCAATACCATAATCATATACACCAGTTCCACTTCAGTCTTCTTTATTTATTGTCCAGCTTTTGCATACATTTGAGATAAATTGGGTCAGGCACACTTCAATCCTCAGGTGAAATCTCTTCTCTTTAACACATGTAAAGACATCTTGTGCAGCAGATTTACCCAATTCAATACATCATTTATTTTTAGCTGCTGCTTTCAGGGCCCTAAGTGGTTCTTGGGTTCTAATGACTGGCCTTTCACTTAGTGCAGCTGTTCTCAACCTGTGGCTAACGACCCCTTTGGGGGTCGAACGACCCTTTCACAGGGCTCGCCTGATTCATAACAGTAGCAAAATTACAGTTATGAAGTAACAACGAAAATGATTTTATGGTTGGGGGGTCACCAGAACATGAGGAACTGAATTAAAGGGTCGTGGCATTAGGAAGGTTGAGAACCACTGACAGTGTGTGAGTGCTTAACCAGTATGCCTCTCAGTACGCTTAACTGTTTGTTAGCAGTGGGAAATTTTACATCATTTTTCTTCTTGGCATTGTATTCCTCTTTCATAGACTGTATCTAATATTATCAAATCTCATGTTTTTACTTTTAAAGTTCTTTGCTCGCAGTTAATCATACTTCTATGAAAAGAATGCCCACAAATTGAAGATTTAATTTTTTTTAATTTCCAAAAGATTCAAGCATTATTTGTTATATTCAGTTATCATTATAATTTAAGAATATAGTTTGTCAATTAATAATTTAATATACATTTTTGATAAATATAAAACTGAATTTTTGAATGTAAATTTAAGGAAAAGTTTTTGTTTTTTCTAGTTCTTTTTTTGTTTGTTTATTTAACATTTTATTAGGGGCTCATACAACTGTTATCCCAATCCATACACACATCAATTGGGTAAAGCGCATTTGTACATCATTTCTCAAAACATTGGAAAAGTCTTTTAGATGCAGAATTCAACAAGGAAAATGAATGAATGAATGAATGAATGAAAGAATAGTACTTTTGTGAATGAATAGTCCTTTTGTGAATGAATAGTACTTTGCTTTTAACCGTTTTCTTGTCATGTAACTCACCTGTCATACAATAATCTAATTCGGTCTCATCAAAGGAAAGTTGCGCAGTCATCACCACAGTCCATTTCATGACATTTTCGGTTCTTGTACTCATGATCAACTCCCCATTTCCCTACCTTCCTTGCCTTATGTCCAAAGAAACATTAGCTCATTTACTGTTGCTATAGATTTCCCTATTCTGGATTTCATAGATGGAAGTAAATTAAAACAAAAAACGAACAAGAATAACAAAATAAAACAGATGAAAACCTTCATCAAAGTGAAGTAGAAGATATTAAAAACTAGAACCAATTTTAAATGGATCAAAGAGGAGGTCAAGTGATACGGGGTTAAATTTTAACATAACTGCATTTGCTATAATCCACTTTCCAATGCTTTCTGCGTGATCACAAAGTTGACAAACAGTACTTTCGAAGGATCATTGGTTCAACATGGTCCTCGGCTCCACTTCACAGATTTTCTTCCAGTAGATATGGAGCAGAACCTCAGAACCGAAATGTTTAAGAAAACAAAGAAAGAAAGAAAAGAAAAAGAAATCCACTCACGGATTCGGATCACTGCTATGTTAAAACCACTTATGGGGTGTTTCCCTGCCTTGCAGCTGTTTTTGAGCTGAAGAGGAAAGCATTCTCATTTGTCCTTGGTTACACACTTCAGACTTTTCATTCCTTAGTGATGGCATTTAATTACAGGCTTTCTATTTATTTATTTATTGTTTCCATAGTATTGTGCTGAAAATGTGAGTTCATTTTCTCAATTCTACAATTCTAAAACCACCCCCAAATCAGCAGATCATTTATGTAAATTCAACTGAGGTTATTGGTTGCTCATTTGCTATATTCATGTTTTATAGTTTTCTAAATCTGTTTGATGGTAGTTTGTTAATTTTCTGGAAACTGCAAAGTTTATGTAGAAGAAAAAACGTGCACCTACTGTTGACATTTTTTGGACAACATTTGCATTTGTTTCTATGTTCCTGGCTCAGCTGACTCAAAATTTTAGATCTCCAATGTGGGGAAATGGAATGAAGAAAGTCTAGAATCTCTTTCATTTCCAACAGACCAAGTAGTTACTGTATGTGAAGCCCCACACTTAGAAATCTGCATATAAAGACAAATATTGGTACATATATATTGAATTATTGTAGAATTGTTTCCCCAGATCTTCCCCATACATCTTTCTCTGTTCAAAACTGCATATGTGCATTCCCCACCCATCAAGTTGCTATAGATAGGTGGTGTTTAGGTGTTTAGATTGCAGAAGCCCAGTACAACTGTAGGGCAAAGGGAATGCAAATAAATTGTAGGTCTTAAAAAAGTTGCAATATTTAATTAGGTTAGTGAACGTAACAGTGGGGACCTGTTCCAATCACACGAATGAAAATGCTTTCAGTTAAGAATTAGTTGTAAAGGAAACATTTAAAAAAATGGTATTATAGAGGTTAACAATGTCTCCATGGAGTAAGCTAAATCCACACATAAGAAGCACACAGTCTGAGTGTTCCAAAGATAATAAACAAGAGACAAAACCAGAGGAGGGAATCGTCCCAGCATCTAAATTCTAAACACTGGGTTTGTGGAACATTATGGATGGTAGTCTAAGCTGAAAATCCAATTGCAGGTGAATCCCCACTACCCACAGACAAGGAATGTGAACAGCCCTATTCTCAGATAGAGCATTGTAAAGAGGTTCTTTACAGCTGTACTTTGACTGCAATGTAACACATTCCATTCTGTCTCCCTGTGGAGCCACTTTCATTTATTCTTAATTTTTATTATTGTTTTCTTTTCCTTAAATTGAGGTCTTTCTCTATTTTATGTAATCATTGTTGCTGGTTTGTTTTCTTTTCTCCCTTTTTTCTACTCCTTGTCCTTGTTTTATATGGTTTTTTGGTGTAGGGAAACTAGAATTTATGAAAACAGTAATGGAAACATTAATGACCTACAGACACAATCAGACAGGATGGGGGAAGGTAAAGTCAACATCAACACATACAAAGAGGAAGAAAATGTTCGAGTTGGTTGTGGTGATGGTTACACAACACTTCTTAATAAGAATGAACAATTGAATTTTATGATGCATTAATTATCACTCCATAAGATGAATTAAAATAAATAAATAAAGAGTAAAAATGGCTTTCTTATGATTTTCAAGAGGCGCTTTAAGAAAATTTGCAAAACTAACTGCAATCGATCGCAGATAATCAAGCAGGGAAAAAGCAGTATTTTATTTTCATCATACATTGTTGACAAAAATATATACAAACAAAATGACTCATTCTTTTATCATTTTAATGGTTACCAATAGTTTAGCAATAATCTAAATTTTATTAGGTTATTAGGAGATTATTCCTAAGAACTCATTTATTTTCACAACTTTCATTTTCTTCATCACTTTATTTTCTGCTCATTTTGAATTAAAATCGCTCTTCTCTTATTAGTCTCTTGTGAAAGCTTAGATGGTGGATTTCAGACTTTCTTTTTTTCTACTATTAATTTTATGTTTAGTACTATAAAATTTTCTCTAAACACCTCTTAGTTACATGGAAATGTTTTGTGTATATATATATATTTTTTTTTCCCATTTTTATGGAACTTTAGAACATTTCTCCATTGCTTACTTCTTTGACCCAAGAGTTGTTTAGTAGTATGTGTGTAATTACCAAATAAGTGGATTTTTCAGATATCTTTTTGTTATTGACTTCTAGTTTAATTAATTTTTCTATGATTTTATTTTGTCCACACCAGTAGCATGTTAGTCATAACTTCCTGTTTGTTTTTAGTGATTTAATTCGAATAGTGAGTCCCAATTTGTTTCCTTCAGACTAGCATCACCTATGAACTCATTGGGGCATGGAATCCTTTAGACACAATGAAAATCGCTTCAATCAGAAGCTTTGAGGTGGCAGCCCTGTTGTGCTTTGTTAAAGCCTGGTGATTCTATTGAAACCCAAATCAGAAAAGCACTAGTCTAGATTTATAATACATCTTCCACATATCATGGCTTACCTTTGAGTAATATTATAACACTTCATTACTTCCATTTTTTACACTCTGGTCTTGTTGCTGTTGTCATAGTTCATCATGCGTCTATATGCTACAAAACCATAGTATGCTGTTATTATACTTTTTAAAATATCAGTTATAATTTTGAGACAACTGGACATACCTTGCAGAGGGGTAGTGGGGAGGAGATGAGTCACTCAGGGTTCAGTGTAGCAATAATGAAACTCACAACCTTCCTCTAGTTCTTAAATGCTTCCTCCCCACAACTATCATGATCCCAGTTCTACCTTGCAAACCTGGTTAGACCAGAGGATGCACAGCAGTACAGATGGGAACTGGAAACACAGGGAATCTAGGACAGATGAGAGTGGCGACACCGGGAGGGAAGGTAGGGTAGAAAGGGGGAAGTGATCACAAGGATCTACATATAACCTCCTCTCTGGGGGATGGACAACAGAAGGGTGGGTGAAGGGAGACACTGGGCAATGTAAGATAAGATAAAATAAAATTTATAAATTATTAAGGGTTCATAAGGGAGGAGGGAGTGGGGAGGGAGGTGTAGGGGAAAAGGAAAATGAGGAGCTAATTCCAGGAACCCAAATGGGAAGCGAATTTTGAGAATGATGAGAGCAACAAATGTATAAGTGTGCTTTACACAATTGGTGTATGTTTGGATTGTGACAAGAGTTGTATGAGCCCCAATAAAATGATTAAAAGAAATTAGACAAAAATACATTTTACAGTTATTTACAGGTTTTGAATTGTTTGTGTTCTTAATTCTTATGGTTAGATTAAGATTTTCTTCTGGTTTTATATTTTTTACTTTCTGAAGAACTTTCTTTAGTATTCGTTATAGTGGAGGTCTGTTCATAGTGGATTCCCTCAGTGGTTGCTTGCCTGAAAAGATATTATTTAATCATCACCTTTAAAAGATAGTTTTACTTGATATACAATTACATTTGTTGCTCTTCTTTTTCAGTACCTCGAATACGTCAATTGATTGCTCTCAAATTTATATCAATGATGACATGAAATTCTGTGTCATTCGCACCTTTGATCTTCGGTTTGTAATGTGTGCCATGATGTTGTGCCCCCTCCCCCAGGCTGCTTTTCTGTTTCCTGTTTCAGCAATTTCAGTCTGAGTCACCTTGATGTGACTCTCCTTATTTTCCTTGAGCTTCATTAATTTTCTTGCATCTGTAAGTTTATTCATCAAGTTTGGGGGAAATGGCAATCATTCACGTATTTTTCTCTTCCTCAGCATCTCCTCTTGGATTAGTTTATAATATCAGACAGGTCATTATTTTAGGCATTTTTCTGTGTGCTTCTAAATGAATTGATATCATCTCTTCTGGTTTACTTATATTTCCTTTTGCCTCTTCTAGAATTTCTTTTAAGGTCTTTAAAAAATCTTCAATTTCTCTTCTTATCATGTTGACACAATCCTCTACCTTCTTACATATGAAGTCAATTTACAATCAGTTGTAATGGCCAGGCCCGCTCATTCTCTCGGTCCTTGTGAATCTGGCTGTAGTCATTCATCTTTCTGATAGTTTAAAGGTATATGTTGTTGCTCTGTGCATCGTACATTTTGAAGTGTACATTATCAGATGCCAAATGTTGCCTTATTCTATTCAATGGTTTGGGGTTTATTACTGATACACAGCTACGTTAACACGGGTTCAAGGTAACCTTTCAAGGCTTGCATTTAGGCTTTGTTAGTGAAGGTCTAGAGCAGCTGTTAGTCGAAGATTAATGTTCACTCTAATATTCTGAGAACACTACTCCTTACCCCATGTAATGGGAGGCCTTCCCATTCATGGATTATTCCCAGTTTTGTGTCAATTCTGGAAATTATTTAACCTACTTGTCCTGGTAATTCTTTACTCACACTTCTATAGTTTTCTCTCCCTAATAAGCCAAGAAGTATTCAGGTAAAGTCTGGAAATTTCCAAATCTCAAATATCAACTACAAATCTTCAGAGATTCTTACCATGAGCTCCTTTCTCTTCTGTAATTACTTTACATATGCTAGTTTCCATTGTCTTTATGACATTCCCTAACCACTTAACCTTCCTATTCCCTAACCTTCCATTCCCTAACCACTTAACTCGGTGAGATCCCAGCCTGTACACATGTTTCTCTTTGAACTAAACTTAGACTGTATACATAGACAATTACAGGACTCACATTACTTGCTTCCTATCCTCAGGGTATACAATTCTGTATTATCTATTGTCCCGTGTCTGAAAATCAGTACTGCATGTATTTTGCTTGTTTTATTTTTGCTAGTTGTTGAATGCAAAAGAATACATGTAGTCCTTGTTGCACTGTCATGGCCACAAGTAAAAATCATATTTTCATATTTCTCTGCTTAATTTTTCAAGGTGAAACATTTTAATAAGCCTTTTTTTAGTATTTAATACGGATATTTGCTACCCATTTAAATGGATTTACTGTCTTGTTTTAGTATCAATCATTCTCAAATAATAGGAATATGCAGCTTTTTTCCAGGATAGTGTATGGATTGTTGATCATTTTGGTATCTTTGGAAAACTTCCAAGTAAATGAGTGAATTTTTAAAGGAATTGTCACTTTCTGGAGCATATTTAATTGGTTTAGAAGGGATGTCGTAGGTTAACTATTAAGATCTTATGTTAGTGAGTGATAAACCATAGTTAGCATTTGTTATGATGATTGCAGTGCACAAATTTTTTAATGAATCCTGATTAATGTTTTTATTTTCAATACTGATATAAATTAGTCATATAAAATTATGCTTAACGATTGATCATGTCTTTACTCTATTTCCCCTAATTAAAAATCCAACTCAAATCTTTACAAAATGTGTGTGAGGTGGACGGTGCAACGAAAGCTGAAAGTCCTCTGCTCTTGATGTGGTGTCTGGTGTCCCCAGTGGACTATGATGACCAGCCTAAGGCAAGCCACCCACTCTTTGCTGGATAATAAAAGACTGTGTGCTCATAGTTAAAGTTTTCCCAACGACTCTTAGGTCTAGTATGAAAAGTATGAGGCAAATGAAATACTTTTCTGGTAGTTGAGGATAACTGGGAAGAGTGTTTTCAACATATAAAGCAACAGGAAATGGACTTTGTTAATCTTTGTTAATACCTTTAACCATACTCATAAATGCACGTGCCACTTTCCTTCTGATTTTCCATTTCCTCCTCTTCTTTTCCCAGGACAACAGTTGGTGTTTTCTGCTGTGGGCCAAGTTCAATTTCTAAGACGCTTCATAGACTGAGTAACCAAAGCAACTCTTATGGGACAAGATTTGAATACAATAAAGAATCTTTCAGCTGAAAATCTTTGAGATCAACCAGGACTCTCAGAAAAACAAACGAAAAAGGAATGAGTGCAATTTTTGAGACTTTGAAAGTCAACTGAATCAAACAGTTATGTCATGCCAAAGACTAGCAAAGCTTTCTTATTTATGATTATTTAAAATGGAAATGAAGAGAATGTTGCAAGATAGCAGGTTCATGTTTAATCTGGAAACTAAAGAGAGACCCTGCAGAATATTTGGTGTGATGCTTGACTTTCCAATGTTCAAATTAAAAGAAAATGATTAGACTCACACTGTTGATTTTTATAGCAGATTCACTAAGTCCCTAGTGGGGAGCTGAATTTGCTCACCGTGAGGGTGATAGCCTGGGTTTTCCTTAAATTGTTTTTAATTGAATAAATGCGTGATTGAACAAAATTAAACATGCATCAAAACTGAGACTATATTTATAAGTTGCGTATAAGCTGGGAAGCATTAATTTGGAAAAACTCTAGGTAAATACGTTAGATGCTTAAAATTACAACACAGAACTCTCTATTGATACGGGTACTTGTTGCCAATAACCAATTTTCCTCACTACTGATATTAATACCTCTACTTGATATATAGAGAGAGACTTTAAGCTGCCTAAACTTTGTGCAGGTATTGATATAGCATCTATTTATATATTTTCTTCTTATTTTTTCTCAACCAAGGAAAATTTTCCCTCTATTGGAATGCATTAGACCAAATGGTTTACTAGATCCATTCCAAATCCAATATATTTAACCTATTATTATTATATAGTAATGAGAAAATATAATTGCCTTCTATTATACAGAGGCTTATAGAGTAATAGTTTTTATTATTATTCAGTATTTCAGTCTTTTTACTTTTTACTGCTGTTTCCACAGGAACACTCTCTCTTGGTTTTGGCCCTCTTAAGGTATTTTGTTTAATTTGCACTTTAAGACCAAAGGGCATTGAAATACAAGATGTCTCTCCCGTGTATACATTGTGTATACTGGAGACTTTCAAAGTATAATTATATTACTGAATAAGAAATGTGTATATTACTACATGACATGAAATCCTTTAATATTCAGATTCAAGTTCAATATCCAGAACATTATTGTTGCTGTGTCTGAAATACTGAAATATGGAATTATTGGATTTGAAGACTCTACTGGGACTATAGTATGTGATTTATTCTTCCAGGCCATTATATTCCTGACACAAAAGACAAATGTATTTTACTACTATAAGAATTAAGGTCTTTGTGAACTGTAGCACTTTTATACTGTAGACAACTCACGATTGTTTGCAAATATAGTATATTGCTGGAAACCGTAGCATGTTTTTCTTTGCTGTGGTTAAAATTTTGCACACTATCACATAACATGACAGATGCTGCTGTACTGTTGTTTTTGGCTTTTTGTTTTGCTATGATTCACCCATAGCCATTGAACATGCTAAACCATCTAGGGTAGAATACCTGAAGCATGTTTACTTGTAGACATTTGTTCCTCTCCTTGGAATTTTTCTACTCCTGCCTTCTCGGGAGAGAAGGTGCGACAGAAATGGTAATGGGAAATCTGCAAAGTTACTGCAGATTCAATCCTGATGGCATATTTAATAACCAGTACATCTGGGCAGCACTTTTTAAATTAAAAAGATATTTTATAAAAACGTGTTCAAAAGAACTAATAAAAAGAATCTTTCCAATGAGTTAGTCCAAGCTTAATGTGCAATACTGTGGCATAACTCCTTACTCATCTTAATTGATTTAAGATATTATGTTATACATTTAACAATGTATACATTTTTCAAAAATGTATAGATTTTTTAACAATGGAAGATTTTTCAAAAAACAGTGAGAGTACAGTATAGGTCCGCTATTCTCGATGAACTTCCTTGCCTATTTTAACTTCTAGTTAGATATTCAAATTACTGTTAAAAATTAAACAGCTTTTTTGTTTTGTTTGTTTTCTTCTGTAGGTGGTAATGGCATTAGAATTTCCTCATCTATGTTTAAAAGAACTCTATTTTGTTGGAGAAGTCTTAACTCTGGTGCAAATTCTTGCCACATACGTCTTGAATCATTCATTTTCACAGAAATTAATGTTTAAAATGAGATAGTATCCTTGAAATCTCTATTAACTTTATCTTTGCGGCAATAAAGTAGCCATGACTGCTAAGAAGATGAAATAGATTTTAGAAGCATCATCTGTTTATTCAGAAATTAGCCTTAGAGATTTGGGTTCCAAACCTCTCCTTGTCACTGTGGTGGGACTGGGGAAAATTACCTTTCACTCTGGGACCATCCCAGTAATTGTTAACCTATTTGGAGGGAATGTATTAAATATATTAAAGCTGAATAAGATTTTGTATTATGTACATTCAGAAGGATCTCTGGTGTCCCAGTGGGTTAAGCATGGGGCGAGAGCTGAGCCCCTTTGGGCTGGTGTCTATCATGGATTAGCATGCTCTGGGACATTTATCAGCAAAACTGAAGGTGCTTTGTCACCCTGCCCAAGCAGGGCAGAGGCAAAGGGACCTCATGGCTTGAGGGCCCAGGACCAGAAAGAGACTTGCTTCTCGGTACAGTTGAAAAGAAATACCCCTCACCAGAACTGCTGTATCCTGAGTGTGTTCAAGTGGACTAGAGAAACAAATTCATAGAAACTCATATGTGTATAAGAAAGTTTTGTATAAAGGGTAATTGTACATTAAGGAAGCATCCCAACCCAGTCCAGTCCACGACCATAAGCCGGTATGAGCCTATATGTCCGTTACCAATCTATAAAATCCTCTTCAGACTCACGAAACACATGTGATAATGCTGACTGCTGGATGATCACAGGCCAGTGGGTAGAAAGTCTTCTGGATCCGGTGGCCTTGTAAGCATCTCAGCGCTGGCAGGGGTCTCTACGTGGCTTCTCCAGCTTCTGAGTTCTGGCTGCATCAGGCTAGGTCCATCTGACTTCTCCAGCTCAGGGCACTAGCGTAGTCCCATGTGTCTTGTCAGTACAGTGTCTTCCAGGGAGTGAATAGAGAGAGTGTCTCCCTCTGCCAAGGAGGAAAAAGACAGATTTCCCAGAGTTCTCAGGCGAAAGCCATGCCCACACAGAGTCCTCATTGGTTATGATCTGATTGACAGGCTAGACCCCACCCCTTCACTTGTAAGCCTTTCAAGCCCAAATTGACACCAGCTTATGTAACTACCACACGTGTTATCGATATAGTTGATTATAATTTAGAAAACAGTTAAGGAGACGCCAACAGCAGACCACATTAGACAGATTTATTTTTTTAAGAGAAAGCCCGCCGGGTTCTAGTGAAAAAAGGCAAAGAATTGGAAAAACTCCTGAAAAACTGCTACCCGTTGATTTTATGGAAGAAGATTCCCGTTCCAAACACTGACTCTCTCTCCACACCTCCTCTCCACATCCGCGTCCGCAGATCCAGATCCTCATCAGTCTCAAGGTATGGGCCACACTGTAATTGTTAAAAAAAAAAATGCAATGTTGTGTTTCTTATTTAAATTATATTATTTAACTCTGAACTTATTTACTTTGAAATTTCTGTGTAATTTTTTGAATAAAAAGGCAAGGTTAGGGTAAAAACTTGGTGGCCAAGAATGGATTAATCCATGTTCAGTTATTTCTTATGGGAAAAATTGATTCAGAAATTCACTGCATCGCATCTTGAAGGCCCTAGAATGGATTAGCGTCGAGGTCTAGGGTTCTACTATATTTTGATTGGACATTTTTGTGAAAGACACTTTTATCTTAACAAAAACCATTGCATTACTTAGAAAAGTTATCTACAGCTTTCTACCAATTGCAGACATATCTAAACACATTTTATTTGTAATTGCATGTACACATATACCAACTTATATTTGTAGCTTAGTTTACCTTTTTAAAAAATTTTATTCACCTTAGAAATGAAGTGATTAGTGGTTTCTCATTTACTGACTTGAAAACTCCTGCTGTGATAGCACAAGAACTTAAAAAAAGCAAAACAAAACAAACACCCCCCACTAGGCAATGTGGTCAAAGCATACCAAAACAAAACAACAAAACCAAAGCCCCAATTCACTGCCATCTACCTAATTCCTATGTAGAGCAACCTTACAAGGCAGGCTAGAACTGCCTCTGGGTTCCAGGACTGTGAATCTCTACGGGGACAGAATGTCTCACATTACTCCCATGGAGCAGCTGGCAGGTGTGCGCTGTTGACTGCCAGGGGGCCGTAGCCCAAACATGGGCTGAATTAATTTATTTTATAAATTGTACAACCATTGAGTCAATTCAGACTCAGTAACTTTACATGACAGGCTAGAGTTGCCCTCACAGTTTCTTACTGCCTCAACGTTTTCTTGTAGAGCATGATGAGTTCGAACCTTTGACTCTTTGGTTAACAACCCAATGCCTAACCAAGTTTGCTACCAGATACCCTTCATTTAACCTATGTGGTTGCGTTGTTTCTTAATCCTCAAACCAGCATTCACTTGTGCTGCTCAGAGAAGGAGTGGGTTTAAATTATAAAGCATTTTTCAACAGATACAGTAGGAGCAAATGAACTTTGATTATCAATGAATAATGCTGATGCTACAGAATATTTATTATATCAAAGAGAAAATAATGTAAAAGTGTTTTAAGAAAGAATTCCTGTGACCAGACCCTGACCCCATTGAGAATGGTTAACTCAGCTGAATGCTGATTTTAATAATAAACAAATGGGACACGTTTTTAAAATACTATTCATGATAAACAGTCTGTTCATTCCAGAGAGGATATTTTCATTTCCAGTTATATCATGGAAGTATAAAATGCTGAAATTAGGAGGATTCTAATTTTATAATTGAGGAAACCGAGACCCAAAGGCACATAGTAGTGTGCATTATCACACCTTTCCTTTGTTTTGTTCAAGTGACCAACATAGTCTAGGTCTTGGTTCCACATGAGCATAATTGAGTGTCCTGGAGTGGCCATTCTTTGTGATGTTAGCCATAACTTCTTCTGATCCACACAGTCAGATGCCTTTGTATAATCAATAAACCATGGGTAGACATCTTTCTGTTAGTCTCGGCTTTTATCTAGCATCCATGTGACTTCATCATTGATATGCTTGACTTCACATCCTCTGACATAAATTGTACTCCCAGATGGGAAAGTCATTATGCCCCAAAGAGAGGGAAGCGGTGAGACAAATGTGCTGACACCCCAAAAGTATAAACACCCCGACTACAAAAGAAAAGACCGGGCAATCTTGGAGATTTCACCCTGCTGTCCTTCCAGATCTGTTAATCAAACTTTAGCTGATTCTCCCCCTGCCTCTGTGATTGGCTGCAGCAGCTGGCGGCCAGATCCTTAATCTGGCTCCATGAGCAGTCCAGCGCTTCCTCCGCTGCACCAGCGGGTTCCTTATCCAGTTT